AAAATTCGTTGGGACATGTGCATGGCATAACAAAAACGCAATTTTTGTCGCAGTGTATTCTGCAGACAATAGAGGTTTAGGGACTTTAGCCGTTATAGTAGCACAGATTTCGAGGGAGATATGTATGTATTTTTGGATTTATGTTCCACATCGTGTTGCTTGTGTCCCTGTACGTATCGAAATTCTTTCCAATCAAGGATTACGGCAACATCTCATTTGAGGAAACTCTTTATATTGAGTGTGTATACGATTTACTTCGCATTGTCAAATGTGAACGATGACGTTGACGCTAACGAAGTGGTTGCCAAATGTTTTTCAGTGGAATCTTTATCAAGGATGGTGAGAACTGACGTTTATTGTGAACAGTTTTCAATGAGGAGCGCAAAGTAACGATTCAGCGTGATATAATCTTGATAAAATATTATCGCCGCTCGCAGCCACACTCATAGCGGACGTGCATCATCATCATCATGATCGTCATTATCATCATCATTATTGATCACCTGCCATCTGTTGCAGACCGGTGACAGAGAACTGATCGAGGAGCGTTTGTTGATCGAGATCACACACACAGAATGGACGGCTCAAGTAGACTGAATGCTGGATCTGAGAATTTTAGTTCGCAAGGACTTTAAGCCCAGTGATCAATGCCTGACCGCCGCCTCAAAAGCGACGGAGCAACTATTCCAGCTTAAGATGGCTCTATTATCAAGGAAGGCAGAAGTTCCTTTACCTCTAGATAAGGCCATAGTTAGACCGCGGTTAGAATACTGCATGCAGGTTTGGACGCCTTAATTAGGGAAAGATATCGATTGCATTGAGAGGGTACAACGGTTAGCCACCAGGATGTTCGCGGGGATGAGAGGAAAATCATATAAGGAGAGGTTCAAAACCCTAGGGCTTTTTTCCATGGAGGGGAGACGCCTGAGAGGCGAAATCATTGAGATCTTCAAAAATATTGAAGGGGCTGATTGGGCTAGAGGCGGACAGCCTGTTTACTCGAGCACCGCTACAGTCAACAAGAGGGCATCATTTGAAGCTGATAAAGCTCAGGAGCTGACTCAACCTCAGAACCAACCTCTTCACGAGTAGAGATGATTGGAACCAACTATCATTTTCACTGCCGGACTGTCGGGCAGTCAATGAATTGAAAAAGTAATTAGATGGAGTTTGGATTAGTCACTATCCAGAGATTTTGTAGGGCACCTACTGCTGATATTAGGTGTTCCATGTTTCTTATTTTCAAACGACCTCCATTTGTAGATACCGACTCGGAAAGAGAGGCTGTTGGGGACGAAGAAGTCGGCTGTGGTCAAACAGTCGACAAGAAGTCGAAGCGCCGGAAGAATGTTGGTTCCAGCTGGAGTGAGAATCTGATCACTCGGTTGGCGAAAGCCTTTACCGTCCTGTGCAACCTGATCTGACCTGCTAAGGTTGACCGAGGACATCGGAATCAAGGCCTCTACTACGTCGACGGAACGAGGTTTATATCTGCCCGGTAGCCGTGATTCAGTAGTCAGATGCATTATCATCACTGGCGATGTATGAACCGTTCCGTTTTCTCAAATGGTTCTAAAATCGTAGTGTTGTGTCTTTTATTCACCATTTACTCGTGTCATGAGATCATGTTTACGATTAGTCATACTGCTTACGCCATATCTACCTATAATGATGTAATGGATCAATATATTTTCATTTGCTTCGCGAATATAACGGCGAATTCTCGGATCCCTCATCTAGTCTTACACGTATCACTTTTACAATTCAAACCACAATCCCACACATACTCTCTCTCTCTCTGTCTGTCTAACAGTAAGCTCATCAGTGGAATCGGTACAATCCTGCCCGAACAAGGCAAATTGGTATCACGTGGACACTCACTATTACATCACGCCATTGGGGGTGGGGAAACAATCCAGATATTGAT